TCATCGCCGCAGCGGGGAAGACCCTCGCACCGCTAGGGTGGATCCAGCCTTCGTGGGCGGATAATCGTCTGTGGGCCATTGCGGCGTTTATCTTTCTGATATTCACGAACGTCTATCGTAATGTACCTTATGCGCTGATCGTGTTCACTCTGGGGTTGGCGTTTGCTCTTGTCCAGTCGACTTTGGCAGCGAATCTGCCGTCGTTTGAGATCTGGCGTCCGTTTTTGGTGATCCCCGGGCTGTCAGAGTGGAAGGTGGGCGCGCTGGATGCGGGAGTCGGGCAGATCCCGCTGACCACGCTCAACTCGATTGTGGCGGTCGTGCATCTGGCGGGCGATCTTTTGCCACGGGTGAAGACGCCGTCCATCACGGCCATCGGGTTGAGTGTGGCTGGTATGAATCTCGTTGGGTGCTGGTTCGGGGCGATGCCGGTCTGCCATGGCTCTGGGGGGCTAGCGGCGCAGTACCGATTCGGGGCCCGCTCTGGCTCGAGCGTCATTTTCCTGGGAGCGTTGAAACTGGTGATTGGCGTTTTCTTTGGAGAAACTCTAGTCGGGCTGCTGAAGCGGTTTCCCTCCGCGCTGCTCGGCGTGATGGTCATCGCTGCCGGTCTGGAGCTGGTCAGCGTCGGCGAGAGCCTCAACACCACTGGAGCCAGGGATATCGCCGGGTCTGGACAGGGACTGATAGGCGATAGCGAGCATGAAATCGGGCCCATGCTCAGTGATATCGAGCGGAAGAGGCGGTGGACCGTCATGATGGTTACCGTGGGCTTGCTCGTGGGGTTCAAGAATGATGCCATCGGCTTCGTGGCGGGTATGCTTTGCCACTGGGTGTTTCAGCTGCCGTGGGCGTTTGAGAGAACACGAGCAAGATGGACCGAGGGAAGAATCAGGGTATAGCCTCAATCAACGGAGATACGCTGCGACGACTTACGACGACTTTTGCACACGACTTGCACGATAATCCATTCTGTACAGCTGTTCCACATATTTGACAACTACAACAAATCCGACATATTCACATCCGTCTCCCTCTTCAACCTCGTCCCTTGATCCGTCTCAAACTCTCGACTGGCCCTCTGCTCAGCCGAATACCCACTCTGACCACGGGCCCGGCCGCGGTCCCGATACCGCGGCACCCCATCGGCATCGTAATCGGCGCGCTGCTCCTCATATGCCCCTGTGTACGCATTGTAAGTCCTAGCACCAGGTAAGGGGGTCCCGATATCGTACGACGATCTCCCCACCGACGAACTCCACGACTCATCGCCGCGGCTCCTCTCATCGCGCTCATCTTCTGTCCCCGTCGTCGGCATCCCATACCGCGACCCCGCGTCGTAGGTCGTCGCACCCGTCTCGTCGTCCAGCTCTGTTATGCGGCGGACCCCGCCGGGAAGCGTCTCCGACCCGGATGCCAGCATCTGCTGTTCCTGGCCGGTGCGGTCGTAGCGGCGCTCCTCAATGACGGCGGGCTGGCCTAGGTCTTGGTGGGCGGTGCGAACTACCGTGTTCCCGCTGGGGTCGGTGTGCGAGGTGGTGGTGTACCGGTGGCCGGTGGTGGTGTTGCCGTTGGTAGTGTTGGTGGAGGAGCTGTAGTAGTAGGAGGAGCTGGTGTAGGAAGTGCTGCTGTAGGAGTCGGTCATTTTGTTGTTCTTTTTTCTTTTTTTTTACAGTGTAAAACCGAGCCTAGTAAAGCATATGTATGATCAATATTTACAGCGAATACGCAGTGAAAAGTAGTGGTCTAGATGTGTACACTTCGGTGTTTTTATGCTTCCCGTGGCGAGGAGGATCCGCTTGACATCATCGCCTCATAACCATGGCGAATCCCCGCCTCCACGCTCGGCACCAGGCTTTGCAAGCGGGATCTAGAATCCTAGATCAATGGCCACGATAACCAAAACTAGAGAGACCATGGTTGTTGTCAAGGCCATATGGTTCTCTTTCTCTATTACCTAGTGTTGATTATACGCTATTTAGCTTCTATCTCTTGAGTTGCTTGACCAGGGTCAGCCAGCATTAAGCACGCCCGGCTCTGGGAGGGTTCTCCTTTGGACAATGCAATTAATGCTGAGTAACACACACATTCGACGTAGCGATCTAGCTTTTAGCTACTGGTTATAAAATATGACAAAGAAAATCTATTCAGGATACAACTTTTAACCTACTATCGGGATATCAAGTGCACAATCGCTAAAGAACCCCACAATCAAGCATCAAGCACAAGGACGGAAACGCTCAAAGAACAGACAAAGCCGAGGAATCGATCACGGCAGTCTTAAGCCAGTCCCAATCCTTTCCTGGCCAGTATATGCTGACGAGAAGAGGATAGAACTAACCGGCCAAAGAGTAGTCCTGCCCACGAAGTGAGCGAGGTAGAGGATTGCCAGAAGGCCAAGAACGCTAGGGCAGTATTGCGAACAACCGCGCCAGCATACTCGGCTACAGTAGAATTCTCGATCACCTCTGCTCGGCTTCCAGGTAGACTCCATGTCCAACTGTTGAACCAGATATTTTCTTTGCCCTTTACGTGCTTGTTTGCTTGGGTGTTTTGGCTCTCGACAACCCTTCCAACGTCGTTCTGGGAGGTCGGCCTGTACCTGAATGGCCGGAGTACACCAGAGGACTCGCGGAGTAGACCCGGAGTGAAATGAACAGCACGAACAGCGCCATCTTGCCGGCCATGGAATCCAGCAGTCGTCGTTTGTGTGTTCTGGGTCACCAGTGGACCAGGAACCGACGAAGTGTGGCCGCTTGTACGCCAAGGTTTTGCTTCCTTGAGCGACTGACAAACTTGAACGTGCGCGTGCGCGGTGTTTTGCTGTCCGGCAGAATTCTGGGCCGAACGCTCTGAACGTTGAACATTCACTGGAGATTTCAGTGAAATAATGTGTCCACCAGAATTCTGAACGATACGCCCCATGACTTGAGCGTTTGGTGTCGGCTTCCACGAAACAGCCGTGCTTGCACGTCCAGCCAAACTGTGTGCGGAACGCTCCGAGGGATGTATATTCATCGTAACGGTTGGCGAGATCGCGGTGTTTACACGTCCGGCGGAATTGTGGACAATGCGATCCCTATGTGGTACATTCGTCTTTACCGTTGGCGAAATTGCAGTGCTTGGTTGAACAGATCCAGGCACCGCTTTGACCGCACGGCTTCTGTCCAGAATTGCGGGTGGTAGAGTCGGCAAGGTACTGGTGCCGAGGCGCTTGGTTGAAATGATGTTCTGGCCGGTGTTGCTGACCTCCAGTCGGGCCTTGGTGGATTGGGCTAGTGCTGCGACGGCAGAGTCGTTCAGAACACGAGAAGCAGCCTTGTCAAGGCAATTGCACTGTACACTATTAGCATGGTATGACATAAGCGGACGATAAGGACCTACCCGCTTATGCTGTTTTCGATGTTTTTCGCAGGCCCCATATTTCCGGGCTTTGATGTAGTTCTCTTTCTGGGCCTGGGATCGCGGTTTCTGCTTTTTCGGCAGATTGGTGGTCGTGTTCATATTCAAATCAAGTACCAACTCTACTCCACCGCTAACCGGGCTCGGTCTTGAAGAGGGTGAGATAGAGGACTTGGCGGAGGGCTCAAAGGCTGATGTGCTGGATGGACTTCCACGAGACTGCGGCTCAGATGCGCTTCCTGCAACAGAGTCAGGCCAGCATGGAGAGGAAAAGCTGCCGCATGACTCGGAAGACAGATTGGCATCAGCCGCTGCAGCGTCTTGCAAGCGCTGCAGGTGCAAAGCAATGGAAGCCTCGAGACGCTTTTCCTTTTTCGAGAAGCAGCGCGGGTCAGTGGCTGCCTGAGATTCGATCAGCTGTCGATAGGTCGACGGGGAGTCAAAGTTTTCTGCCATATTTGAGGCGTCGAATGATGACCATGTGGCGTCAAATGTCGAGGCAGAGCACTCCACTTCCGGAAACGATAGCAGTGGAGGAACGTTCTCGGAGAAGCCAGCCATGTCCAATGGCATTTCTGTGCTTCCTATTAAAGGGTCCTCGAAGGCAACGAGGTCGGAGAAGGCTGATTGAGGCCATTGAGCGGCTTCCGAGTCCCAGTTCAGCGCGTCTGCATCACTGTAGACCAACTCCAAGTCTTTTGGAGAGATCGAGTTCAGCGAGGGTGGGTTGCTCTCCAGATACCCCGTTGAGAACTCGAAGGAGTTGTCAAAGTCAACCCACTCGTCAGCGCGAGCAGGGTTCTCCATGTGATACAGCGATTGGTTTGCAGACATTGCTTCAAATGCACTAAGAATGACGCTGAATATAAAGATGATTCCGAATGACGATGAAAAGATAGATTAATATTAGAGATGAAGCCGTCCGTCTTCGAGATAAGATCTCGGCTATTTACGGTCTTGCGAGAGTGAAGGAATGTACCTTTTTTCGAGAGTTTAGGTCACCAAAAGGCAGAAGGATGTGCAACCTAGGTGAACAGGCGTATGCTCTGATTGAGGAGGAGGAGAGGAACCGAAGGATGAAGGATGAAAAGAAAGAGATGCCTGAAGATGAGGGAAGGTCGTTCAACAAGAGCCAAATACGAGGAAGCTGACTGTTAGATACCCTTCACAGCCTCAGTCACTAACTTAAGGCATCCGCCTTTCCTCTTTTAGGTCCCCGCTGGTTGCACGCCCTAAACCGCTTTAGGACCCCGACGGCCTCCCCCACCTTCCTGATTGTATCCTCTGATTGGCTGGTTGATGTATTTCATGCAGCTCCCGCAGTTTCATGTGACTCATACTCCGTAGGTCTAACGTAAGGGAGCCGAGACTGGGATATCATCCAGAGCATCACTGCTTCGGGCTGTGGGCTGGTTCTGAAGCACATGCAAAGGTAGAGGAAGGGGATATTACCGGGCCGGCTTGAATACTCTAACTCCACGATCTCGCCAGACGTTGATATTAACAACGTCGCAATGACTGCCGAGATATATATACCTAAAGTTGATGCCACAACAGACATTCAGCATCCCAACAATACATTCTTCCATTCTTCACCACTAATAGACGCATAAACACGCAATCACTGATAATAGCACCAACCCACGATTGATTCCCACAAAAGCGGCCCGACTCTTCTCCGCTTTAGCTGTCGCAGCCTTACCTACAGCAGACGATACCGGAGTAGGAGTAGGAGAACTGTATTCGCCGCTCTCCGGGTCAAAGTGCAAGCACGCCGTCGGCAGGGGGTACGAAGTTGAAGCCAGTACGGTTTGCACAGCAGCTGCTTCCGTGAAGACGCGTGGGACATCAACCTCGAAATTCGCCAGGGCTCCCAGATTGATGTCCACAGTGGGAACAAGGTTTGTAAAGTTCCCAAAAACATGGTCCAGCACTGAGGTGAGCTTGCCATCGCCATTCGAGACAGCTTCGCATTTCTCGTTGACGTTACCGAGCTGTGTCACGTTGAGAGAAACCTTGGGTAGTTCGAGAAAGGCGCCGACTCCTCCCTGCACGCTTCCCACTGCCGTGTTGATGCCGAGGAGGATCTGGGGTTTGAAGCCGATACTGGCTATAAGAGAAACAAGAGCGGCTTTTGCCTGAAATGGCAAGGCATGGACGGTTGTTTTGTCACTGAGCAGCGGTTAGTTGAAGAATCTCGTGAAATCGCGGGGTTAGCTTACAAGCCTGTGATTGAGGAGTTCGAGATCTCGTCCATATTCAGCTCCACTTTGGAATTTGCAGGGACCTGAGTACAAGTCAGCGTAAGGATGAAAGGATGGAATGGCTGAGGTGAACTAACGGAGAGGTTGAAACCATATGAAAAGCCAATGCTTTGGGCAAGGCTCAAACTCAGGTCAAACTCCGCTACTATCATCGGGCCAAACACGAGGACTCCGGGAATCTAACACGCATCAGTTATTGGCTATTGCAGTCTTCTGAGCGAACGGACCTCGAAAGGAATGAGGGGGATAGCAGGAAGCTGAGCCGAAAACGAGACCAGATCTTGACTCGCAGAAAGATCGAACTCAAGTTCGACCTGCGCAAAGAGGCCGTTGGCAATTACTTCAATGCTGCCATGGTCAAAGAAAGCGATGGTGTTGTTGACGGCGTCCATGAACCCATCAGATCCAGAAATCTCGAAAGAGCCCTTGTTTAGGACGATGTTGCCTTCTAGGGAGCAATTCTTGCAAGACACGGTGATTCCTGATGGGCTGCGAAATGAGCCTCTCTTCTCGGCTTGGATCCGGATGAACTACGATTGAATGCACTTACAGAAGCGCGGCCGCCGCAGGAACGGCTGGGGGAAATATCTTTTGGTCCACGTAATGCTCATTGAGCTCCTTCGTCGAAGTCGAGGAAAGCCCCGACGTTGCGCTAGGCGCAGGAATTGTGAACGTAGGAGTTTCGGCGGACCCTCCCATTGTTTTTGTTGTTTCTGGTGATTTAGACTGCGACTGCTGCTGTCTCTTGATGAGCGTGTTCGAACGTCTCCGGACTTCGGATGGATGTCTGCGAGAGAAAGAGACTCGAGTCGTGTGAAATGCGTCTTGCCAGCCACAGTCGGATTTTCCTAGTGACAGCACGTTGCGAGTCGGGTCAATTGCGACCTTGGTGACTCTATACACGATTAATAAAACTCCCTTAGGTTCATATTCGAGGTACTGACCGATGCGTTGACCTTTCTCCATCAGGGTCACACCCACTATGTGAGGTGACTAGGATGAACCCATCGGTCTGCTCCAATTCTCGATGGATTGAGCGGACTTGCTCGATTGATCCGAACAATATGTCAATCTGTGATTCCGTGCAGGTCACGTCTTGGACCGAGTCATCCAACTCCTCTAATGCCAGAATGGGTGACTGCGACTTGACGTCCAAGGTGGCCACAAAGACCGATTCGAGATCTTGATCACCATGAAGAAAGTCAAAACTTGCTTCCCTTCTTAGAAGATTGGATGCAAACGCTGCTCTGGATTCAAGCTTTGAGCGAGAAACCGCAGCAGAGAGACGCCTTGCCTTGGGGAAGTTGAACGGCTGAGCCTCTCTGGGGAGTGAGCTCACTGTGGCATCGCTGAAATTACTTAGAATAGTGAGAGCAAAGATCAAGAAGGCTAGTACACCCATGATGGATGAAGTAAAGTGGCTTGCGAAATCGAAGAGTCTTTTGCTTCAATAGCACCCCGTCACCCTTTTATAATGTTACAGTACTACTTCTAACTAGCCAGCCTAGCCATGATGCATCGACCAGGTCAAACAGATCTGGCCCCGTCAGACAGAAAAAACCAACAGCGAAAAGGGACGATAAGGCTCACAGCCCTTTGCCTAATCTCACTAGCAATCTCCGCATGTTTGTGCGGACAGGAATGCGGACAGGAACCTTTCCTGCTTTAGTATGGTCTCTTGAAACCGGTGCTGCAAGGTGCTGTGCCGCACGGCTGAAACATGCTAACTGGAGTCGAGACTGCGCATCTCAAGGGTTCAAGTATGGTACAGCCTCCTCCACATGTGTACTATCTGATAAATTAGAATGTTCTCAATATATCAGCCAATATGAAATAACTATAGCACAGACCATATGTAAGCCTGATGATCACAGCCCTGTTGGATCCAGTCATCCAGTCATCCAGTAGTAAGTTTGGGAGACATCCGCCGGCAGTTGCGGAAGTTGATTAAGATATAAACGAGGGCAATCCTCTTGGCCCAGCAACGGGAGAATGAAAGGTTCACCATTCAAGAGAATCCAGTCATTAGAATGCGCCTTCGCTGTTCTCGGTGTGTAGACTCTTAGTATGACAGCAAGGATGAAATCTTGGTTAAGATAGAGGAAACCATGGATCGATCGGCGGGGTTGGTGAAGACATCTCGATTGACCGTTGTCTTGGGCTCTTGCTTCAGACAGGCCAGAGAGATTTACCATTTAACAGGCCCTTTGACAGGCATGACAGGATGGGAATGTAGGCAAGAATGGAGGCTAAGCAGAAATAACGGGAGAGACTATTTGATATAATAGAGTTCTGCACCTGCACAGGAAGCTGTCACTTGAAAGTGCTCAGCGAATAGGTAACAGGACATAAGATTTGACTTTGATCTCTTGAAGGTATTAGGATTAAGTGCTAATGCACTCCCCAGATTTATATGAGGGGTCGGACCCCCCGCTGCAACAGCTCACGACTTGTTCCAATGAATACGTATATGTATCATATAAGTCTATGACACTTCTTCATCTTCTGTCCTTCCTTTCCCCTCATTTCTGGCCTATTTCTTTCCTTCACTACCTCTTTTTCAACTTGCAGACCGAATTTTCCTCGCCATAACCCTGATACCCATCAATATTCGATGGTATTCTCCCTCTCTTCCTCTACTTGAACCGGCCGATACACAGGAGGAACTCACCAAAATAATAGGAAGCTCCCGCCGCTCGGTTCATCTCTGCTCCACTTTCACCCTGAACTCCTGGGCCACGACCTCGTGGGGGACTATCACTTTCGGTTGCTATTATTATTACTTTTATTGGCGTCTCCATAATTTAGACGAGCTTTTAATCGGTTCCAGACCAAAAGGGGAGCAAAATTAGCTGGGGTGGGAAAAAAAAGCTGGAAAGTCAGCAGGACGGACCGTTGGGACCGCCCGGAGAAATCCACCACGTCACGTTGTCCTGTCCGTCCTCCCGACCAGCAATGGCAGCTGCCTTTGACGACGAGGACCTTTCTGTCTCTCTCCCTTCCTTCAACTCCGATCGCCAGCGTGAAAGTGCCATTGGGGCCGGTCCTCCCCCCAACACCTCGAATTATCCTGCCATGGCAATGCCTCCGCCCACGCGCCCGACCGGGGTGGCGGGCGACCCCTCCATGCAGTCACCAGCGACCATGAGGGACATGCAGCGGCTCGATCAGTACCAGACGGTCAAGATTCTGGGCGAAGGCTCGTTCGGAAAGGTGAAGCTGGCGATTCATCAACCTAGCGGCCGTCAAGTCGCCCTGAAGATTATCTCCCGTCGGAAACTGCTGTCCAGAGACATGGTTGGTCGTGTGGAGCGGGAGATTCAATATCTGCAGTTGTTACGGCATCCTCATATTATCAAACTGTATGCTCACATCTCGGTCTTCTCTGTGTCAGCGGATAGAATTAGACTAATCCTCGTCAACTTTGCAGGTACACCGTCATTGCTACCAAAAGCGACATCATCATGGTCCTCGAGTACGCGGAACGAGAATTGTTCGATTACTTGGTCAAAAGAGGCAGATGCAACGATGCAGAAGCCCGCAAGTTCTTTCAACAGATCATTTGTGCCGTCGAATACTGCCATCGCCACAAAATCGTGCATCGGGATCTGAAGCCGGAGAACCTGCTGATTGACAAGGATAAGAATGTCAAGATCGCGGATTTTGGGCTGAGCAACATCATGACAGATGGGAATTTTCTCAAGACCAGCTGCGGCAGTCCTAACTATGCTGCTCCTGAGGTCATCTCCGGCAAGCTCTATGCTGGACCCGAGGTCGACGTATGGAGCTGCGGTGTTATTCTGTATGTTTTGTTGGTGGGACGACTCCCGTTTGATGACGACTATATTCCCGCCCTGTTCAAGAAGATTGCCGCAGGCAACTTCCACATGCCCCCTTATATCTCGACTGGAGCGGCTCGCCTGATCAGATCGATGCTCCAAGTCCACCCAGTCCACCGAATCACTATTCCCGAGATCCGCCAGGACCCTTGGTTTCTGCAAGACCTACCCAAATATCTTCAACCCCCTCCGGAAGAATTCATTGCTACTGGAGTGGATCCGAATAAGGCTATCGACCCAAAGAAGATTGCCCCGGGGAAACCCCTCTCGGCGCAGCACAAGATTCACCAGATCGCCATCTCCAAGCTGGAACGGAGCATGGGATATGCGCGGGAAGATATCGAAGATGCACTCAAGAGCCCCGAGCCCAGTGCCATCAAGGATGCTTTTTTCATAATCGTGGAAAACGAAATGATGCAGACCAATTGTGAGTGACCACTTCAACACAGCCCTCCTGACTGCATTGTCAAGCTAACAGCCGCAGCTCCCACAGAGGACAACCTGATGGGTGGCCCTGTCGCACCTTCACCTCCTCCGAACCGAACTCCTTTGAGTACACCTGCAGTTGGCCGGCCCCCTGCACCCCGTCCTCAAGGGTCCCCTCTTTATGATTCACCTCGCCAGTCTTCGCAAGTATCGCAACAAGTTGATTCGGATGATTTTGAAAGTTCCCGAATCAGCCACGTTCGCATTTTGCCGACAAGCTTGCCCTATGTTCATGATCAACTAATGGAACAACGGGAGCGGGAGCGGGAGCAGCGGGCGCGTGATGCGGACCGATTACGAGAAGAACGTGCGCAGGCCAGTCTCGACGACGATCTTTCCGGCGCACGTTCCCCCGAGGAGCAGGAAGCCACCGCCAGAGCGTTGAAGCCTCACTCCCGTAGTATCATCGATCTGAACAAACTGCGCCTGGAACCTCCAGAAACTCGGAGTGCACCCCAGCAGCCCAAGAAAACGCGCAAGTGGCAGTTTGGTATTCGGTCTCGCAATCAACCTTACGAGGCTATGCTCTATCTATATAAAGCCATTGCAGCACAGGGCGGCGTCTGGGAAATCCAGCCCTCCGAAACAGGTTCGTTCTATTCCAAGTTCCTGACTCCCGTTCTTCAACTAATTAGTTACCAGAAGGCACAACGCCCATTGGGGTTGAACGGCGACCAGGAGAAAGGCCTCTGCAAGGGAAATATCCAGATCTTCCGGCCGACTACTACATCCCGAAGGACTCCTGGTTCATCCGGGCGCGTCTGTTGAAGCAAGGCGTCACGGCACCGGGTCGTTCAGCTAGTGTGCAGAGCAGCAAGAGTGACTTGGATGAGCTTCGCCGCCGATTCAACATCTCCGGACTGTCGCACTCGGCCGAAGAGAAGAATCCTCTTACCATGGACAATACGACCAGCTCCGGCCCATCCTCCGCAACCCAGCCACACCTGCAGGGACGAATCTCGCATGGGGTGTGGGTGTTTGTGGATATCCAACTGTACCAGCTGGAGGAAAACAACTACATGGTCGACTTCAAGTGTGACGGATACCAGAACGTGATCCGCGCGGAGGGCGAGACCGACTGGCATCCCATCAGCAAACGTTACTTCAACAAGGAGAAGGAGATCACGAGCCCCTATCCTTTCCTCGACGTGGCGTCGGACTTGGTGGCTCAACTGGCCGTCGCCAGCTAATTGCATTTCTTGAGTTTGGACGGCTGGCGCATAATGGAGTTCTCTTGCGATGATTTGGTGCATGGCGCAGACTGGCGTCTCATGATTTACGGCCTTACTTCCTGTATCTTATTTTAATAATATGGCCATATGCGGAAAACGCACCTTGTTTGGGCACTGACTGTCAAATGACTATTCTTAGATCGAGGCTGTGTGACACATTACGAGAAGAGTTTATCAGTGTGTCTTGAACCTGTAGCATAGCAATGTTCTGATACTGTTGAGGAGGTCTGGTAGCAGCTGGAAAGGGTCACTATATGTAGAGGTCATCCACCATCAGGAATCAACCAGACAATACTAAGCGTCTATCCCCCTTCAACGCTACCTTATCTAGATCACCCTCCACAACCATGCCAGATCGTAAAACGCAGACACTAACGGAACGAAATCAAAGACACAACTGCCGCACCGCCGAGTCGCAGACGCACAGAATTGCAGAACTGACAACGGAACATTAGACCATCAGAACAGCATTTTTGATCATCAGATGCTGATAATCCCGATAATTGCCATCCAGTGATGATGCCAAGAAAGTATTTCCCTCGCGAGATGCGTGCGTTGGGGGAATGCGGAGATGGAGATAAGGAGTCGGGGATAATTTCCCCAGGCAGGAAGTCAGTCAGAGAAGCCGATCAGTTTACTTTATGGACTGGATGTGGGAAGGTGAACCAGCTGCTCGGAGCCTGGAGATACTGTCTGGACTCTGGAGGCGAGGGGTAGTGGGCCTACTGGCAGGCGGAAAAGCAGTTTGCCGCTCTCCACAGTGGGAGCGGACTGTGGGGGAGAGTGGGTGGTGGAGATGCCGCTGCATCGCAAGGACGGGGAGAAGAGCCGAGTGTTAGGCGGAGGAGGTTGGTAATAAAGTCGTTGAGCTGCTGGTGTATTTTCGGAGTATTGCGTTTGTTTCAAAGCGTGTCAGCCTGTCCGTCACCATGTCGTCCGAACAGCTGGCTCAATTGCAGAAGCCTACGGGCGAATATCGTCAGTATCTCCCGGACCTCAGTCTGAAGCGCTTCCGGGTGATGCGCGGCCAGGATGCGCATGAGTACGTGCATGATTTCAAGACGCTGCGCCATCCGCCCTGGCTGCATGCGCTGTATATGCACTGGTTGGATTTGCTGCAGGAGCCTTTCAAGGGTGTTACGACTGATGGTAGTTGGATCCTTCTGACTCCGAGGCTGTAGGGCTGTTACTAACGTCTCAGGAAATGTGCGCCCCGGGCTCTTCACATTACAAGATGAAGGCGTCCCCATCGCGGAGATTGTCACCGCAACCGAGTCCCTGCTCTCGATTCTAGACGACAACCAGCGCCAGTCCCTCAGCTACCACATCGACTCGCCCGAATGGCGCACCTGGTCGAACCCGGAATTCCTTCTCAGCCACAAGGGCCTGCGTCTCGACGAAGTCACCCCTTCCGTCCGCGACGCCATCATGCACATCCTCGAGACAACGCTCTCCCCAGAAGGCTACGAAAAGGCCGTCAAAGCCATGCGCATCAACCACTTCCTCGGCGAGCTGGTCGACGCACCCCGCGTCATGAACGAGTTCTCCTACAACTTTGTCCTCTTCGGCCGCCCCTCCCCCGACAGGCCCTGGGGCTGGTCCTTCTACGGCCACCACCTTTGCCTCAACATCTTCTTGTACAAGTCCCAGATCGTCGCCTCCCCCTGGTTCACCGGCGCCGAGCCCAACGAGATCGACACCGGGCCCTACGCAGGCACCCGCATCATGCAAGTCGAGGAGCAACTCGGCCTCCAGCTCATGCAGTCCCTCTCGCCCGAAGTCCAGTCCCAGGCCCGCGTCTTCGCCCAGATGCACGATCCCGCGATGCCCCCGGGCCGCTGGAACAAGGATGACCAGCGCCACCTCTGCGGCGCATACCGCGACAACCGTGTCGTCCCGTACGAGGGCATCCCCGCCACCTCCCTCGCCGAATCCCAGAAACAGCTCCTGTACGGCATCATAGAGCAGTACCTCCTGTACCTACCCGCGCGCGCGCGGCAGTTGAAACTCGCCCAGGTGCGCCGTTACGAGGAGGAAACATACTTCTGCTGGATTGGCGGGTTCGGCGACGAGGATCCCTTCTACTACCGTATCCAGAGCCCTGTTATTCTTGTCGAGTTTGATCACCACTCTGGTGTGTTTTTGGCTAATGAGGAGCCGAAGAAATTCCATATCCATACGCTGTTAAGAACGCCCAATGGCGGCGATTACGGGATGGCGCTGCGGCCGTTGATTCCTGCTGTGGAGGGGATCAATGCGAAGGAGATTACGTGGGAGAAATCGGCGTTATAGTTTATATACTCGTCGCGATTGTGGCGTGTCATGATTATTGTTGCATAGAGCTGATTGTACATACCGAGGGATGATTAAGTTGATTGCTTCATGATCTTGCACCAGTGAGGGTTCTGGTATTCCCGGCGTACGAACATCCCGAATGATGGTTCTCGTTAGTCTACTATACCACCATAATCGTAGTATGTAATATGTATTCCCTAGACTACCAGGGAGGACATCGTTTGGAACCATTCGATTATCGAAAACACCGGGGACAAGGGCCAGCAAGAACAGAATGCAGTATTTGCGACAGTAATTACACAGACTTCGGAGTTTTGGCCCGTATGCAAGGACTGGTAAATCCGGCTAAAGAACAGGCTCGGTATTTCGGGGCAGCTCGTAAGCAACCGCTGTCATCTACTATCTTACGGAATAACGGCCGGCAATTCGCGACCAACTGATGGGCTGACAGAGGCGCTTAGTGGCTGCTTGATGGAGCTATCTTAAACTATATAAGAGCTGCTTACCTCGGGCGTTAAGTCAAATCGTCGACATTGTCTCTTTCTACCAAAATCGGCGAGATCGTCAAACGCAACACAATGGTGAGATGCTATCGGCAATTCTCGTAAAATGATCATCAACTAAAAATAAAATAGGTCTCTGAACAAGCTCATCTCCACATTATCATTGCTGGTGCTGGCCTTGGCGGTCTAGCCGCCGCAGTCTCCTGCGCACTCTCCGGACATACAGTCGAGGTAGTCGAGCAAGCAAAGGAACTTGTCGAAGTCAGTGGCCTACAGGAGATCTCACTACGTGATTTTTAATCAGGAATAGGTCGGTGCAGGTCTTCAGATAACCCCCAACGCCTCACGACTTTTCAAATACTGGCAACTCCCCAACTCCATCTGGCAAGCCGCAGCTGAGCCCACGGCGCTCACCGTCCATCGCTATACCGGCCAGATCCTCGCCAACGAACCATCCTTTCACGAGAACATCCGCGCAAAGTACGACGCTCCGTTTATAGATCTGCACAGGGTGGATCTGCAGCAAGCCTTGTATGCCCGTGCGAAGGAGCTTGGTGTCACATTCCATCTCAACGAGAGAGTCGACTCGATAGACTTTGACACAACAACGATCAAAACCCTAGCTGGCAATCGGTACACCGGTGACCTGATCATTGCTGCTGATGGGCTCTGGTCCCGCTGCCGCGAGTGTTTCCTAGGGAAGAAGGATGCGCCGCTCCCCACAGGCGATCTGGCCTACAGAATTGTGCTAACTGCGGATCAAATCTCAGATCCGGAGCTGAGAGCCTGGGTTGAGAACCCAGAGTGCCACTTCTGGATTGGTCCGGGTGCTCATGTGGTTGCCTACTCACTCCGCAATGGACGAATGTTCAACATTGTCCTGCTTGTGCCGGACAATCTGCCGCCTGGAGTCTCCAGACAGCCTGGCTCGGTGGAAGAAATGCGGAAGCTCTTCGAAGGCTGGGATCCAGTGTAGGTTGCCTTCTTTTCGTTTCGTCTGACGCTGACAACAACAACGACAGCCTGAATCGCTTCCTGAGCTACGTTGACAGCGTGGACAAGTGGAAGCTGATGCACCGTGAGTATCCTGCACCAAACCATTGGGACAAGGATTGAACTGTTACCTTACAGACGCTGAAATGGAAACCTGGGTAAACGACAAGTCAAACTTGGTCTTCCTGTACGCATCCCCATCGTCGTTCTATATCAATCATCTAACGCACACAGCGGCGACGCCTGCCACCCCATGCTCCCATACCTCGCACAAGGCGCCAACTCGTCTCTCGAAGACGGCGCAGTCCTGGGCCAATTACTCGGCCACATGAAGAACAAATCGCACCTACCCCAGATCCTTCGCCTGTACGAGAGCCTGCGAAAATCCCGCGGCGAGGCCATTGTCAAGGAGACTTTCAAGCAGGTCAGTCTGCCGTCTCGTTACTTCCGCTGCAACGCATTGACATTCCCTAAGAGACATGATTTCCACATGCCAAATGGCGAGGAGCAGGAAAAGAGAGACGAGATCTTCTTGTCTCAACTTGGAAAGGAGATCAAGGGGGCATTTCCGAGTAGATGGTGAGTACGGTACTTTTCGCAGGGCAGTCAGCGGCTGACACGATACCAGGACATGTCCCGAGGTGCAGCCTTGGCTATACGGCTACGATGCAATCAAAGAAGTCGAGAATGCGGTTGCGCAGCACCCGGAGTTGTTCGTCAGGACGTCTGCGAATCTGTAGTCCGTTTCTTTCTAAATATATACTATATACCAAACGCTTGATCCTGACAAGCCGGGACTGGGAGCAACTGCCGGATGTCACACAATCCCCCATGGGGATTCCCCGCTTTTCATACTTTGAGCCAAATGATCTAGTGGGTCCACTGACATGGCTATAACTGCCGGCGTTCGTAATGCTTTGGTATATTCTTGCCTATGTAGATATAAGATTGTGTGGCGCTTGACGTCGTTACGGCCTGTAGTAGGTCATATCATTGCTGTGCTGTGAAGTCTAGCCTGTCTGCCTGTATCTGACAGTCATTATCTTAGATTTCTTCCAGGCTAGGAAAATTACTCTTCCGTAGCTATATGCATTTCCCTTCGACTGCCTTGAATTTTGCCCCGGCAGTCCTGTATAATGAATCCCAAGGTAAGCCTGTTCAAATTTGAACCGCGTCCCCAAATACATCCCAGGAAATTAACGGAGAAAGTAATTGATTGCTTCCAACGTGTATAAACCTCCTAGTTGGCCGCCTGATTTGCAACTTCGATAACAACTTTGCCAACTTGCTGTCCAGTCTCCAGCCTTCCGTACGCCTCTCGGTATTCTGCAAAGGGATAAACCCGATCAATGACCGGCCGGACCTTGTGTCTCGCCATCGCCCTAAGCATCGCCTCGAAATCGAGCCGTGACCCGATCATTGAGCCGGACAACGTCAGGGACCGAGCGAGTATATCGATGGGCGGAAGCCCGCCGCCGAAACCGCTCGCAAACCCAATCACAACAACTACACCACCTACCTTGGTACACGCCGCAGACTTCCGAATCGTCTTTTCGCCCGCAATATCGAGGACCCTATCGACTCCCTTGCCGTCGGTCAGAGCTAGAATCTCGTGATCCCAATCTGGAGAAGCGGTGTAATCCACCACAGCATCGGCGCCGAGCTCCTTGAGCCTCGCAGCTTTCTCATCCGACGAGGTAATCGCCAGCACGCGGGCGCCGAACATGTTCGCAAACTGCAACGCGAACAGCGAGACTCCCCCCGTTCCCTGGATCAGCACCGTCTGGCCCGGCTGAAGGGGCTCAATCTTGTTCAGCGCTGTCCACGCCGTCACCGCCGCACAGGGTAGCGAGGCAGCCTCGGGGTAGGACATGTAGTCGGGGATGTGCACGAGTGCGTCCTCGTGAAAGAGCACATACTCGGCTAGCATCCCGTCTATCTGAAACCCGACGCTGGTAAGGGCATACTCCGGGATATACGGACCGCCGGTCCAGGCTGTATTGCAGCTGACTGCGACCCGGTCGCTGGGCTTCACCCGCGTCACTCCTGGTCCGACGGCGATGACCTCGCCGGCGCCGTCAGAGACGGGGATGCCATCCTTCTTGGTTTTCGCTGGGTATTCGCCTCGCAGCAGCGCTGTGTCGCGGTAGTTGAGTGAGACGGCGTGCACTCGGATCAGAACTTCGTGGTGGCCTGGGCTTGGGAGGGGTTCGTCACGAAGCTCGGTCGTTACCTTACTTCCTGCAGTAACAACGCGGACTGCTTTCATTTGATCCATGTTCGGATAATAACAGCCAGGTCTGGTTGGATGGATAATGATTGCGAGTGAAAGAATTGGCCGATTGGTAACAAGATCCTGCAAGGGGAAAAAGAAAAAGGGAAAGATGTATAAATTCTATTGAGTTATATTACCAGAGACACTGTTCTCCAGGCAAGGGACATCCATCGCAGCACAAATTAATAGTCAATTGCTGTAGCGTATTAATAATGTTATGGGGAGAACTGTATACCAGCAAGTGGGCTTTCCGGTCGGTCGGTGGGCTCTCCGAGTCATACATTGGCTGAACCAGTTAACTTATGCGGAGCTGGCTGAACATCCCACAATTCCTACTGCTGAGATTAAGTATCCATCCTACATGTGAGTCTCTCCAGCCTTTCACCTAGGTACGCTCTATCAGCATCTCAGTAGCCAATAAGATGCATTCAAAACCATTCCCATGTCGCTTCCCACCGTGCAACGCGAGCTACCAGCGAAAGGAGCACCGTCGTCGCCACGAGGCGCGCCATTCCCGAGGCCAAGTATTCAAGTGCACTACTTGTGACCAGCAATTTGGCCGGAGGTAAGCGTGGTTGAAGCTGTTCCCTCAGTATTTGCTGAATGCGATAGCAATTAATACTGATGTCTAGTGACACGCTCCGGCGACATATGCGGTCGATGCACGGCGTGGAGGCGCCGGCCCGTATAAAGTTCGCATGTACAAGCTGTCGAAATCAGAAGGCTCGATGCCAGGGTGGGTCACCGTGTAGTAATTGCCTTCGTCGTGGACTGCAATGTTCTTTGGCGCAAGAGGATGAAGATGAAGGACAGCAGATTGGCGATCTCAGCGGTTCGACAGACTCAGGACCAGTGGCGCATCCGAGTCCGACCCACCCAAAAGCGAGTCGCTCCGAAAAGGAAAGACATTATATCAGCCTTTATTTCAGGCTGTTCCATCCGTATTGGCGCTTCATTCACCAGGGCTCGTTCAAAGAATCGGCGGAGACCCCCTTGCTTGTCCAGTCAATGATTGTTATCGGCTTGTGGCTGAGTAACGAGGACAATGCGCAGTCGCGAGCGATTGCGTTGCATAATGTCCTGAGTTCGGCTATACATCAACAAAGGGTTTGCTCCCAGAACGTTTGGCCATAGGTCTGTATGTTGTACTAACCACGGCCGTTGTAGGAGATATGGGATGCTTCGGAGTCCGAGGCCGCATGCAGTTCCTGTTCCTGGCCTATCCCGACATATCAGGCCATCTTGCTCCATATTATTTTTGCTATACTATATAAAGATCGTGGCGCGCTGGGCCTCGACCTGAGGCCTGCTTTATCGGCCGCGGATGCCGAATTGCTTCGCAGGCTAGTCGTGAGTTGCAAAAAGCTGGGGATGCTCTACTATCCAAACATGCTCGCGCGATACTGCCGGAATGATCTTCCTTCGTACGTCTGGGTAAGCATTGAAGAAGTGAAGCGATTCAACATTGCTCTATATAAAGTGTGCACGGCATGCAGTGGAAAGGGGTGTGGACAAGGTGTCCTGGATACAACCAAGGCATCGAGCAGGGAGCTTCGGGCACAGGATTTACAATTTCCCTTGCCAAAGAACACTCCATTGTGGAACGCCGTAGGCAGAGCGGACTGGGTCTCTGTTGCGACAGAGGAGGTGCACCGCCACATCTTGGATGAGACTTTGGAACACGAATGGATCTCCAAGTCAGCACATGTCTTGGAGGCTCTAGATGCAGCTTGATGTGTCTTCGGATGGTTAGGTTGTCATTTGGGCCTTAGTCAACTCGGGGATCTACTGAGCTGGAGATATCACTAGGTATAATCCTGAGCCCTTCTACACTATTTCTCTCAAGCAGCCTTCTGGGACAACATTTGCTCTTGTGGAACAACATGGATGGAAGTCTGTTGTCCCCTCTTCCGGTCGTTGCCCTGGTATGCTAATGTAAACAACCTCGAAGTCTACCAGTCTACTCTGAAGTCTAATCGACTGCAGTCCGAAGCAAGAGCGAACGGGTACGTTGTTCCTTTAAATTTCGAGATAAAAGCTAAAAGTCACAAGGGACCTTGACCTAAGCAAATTCATCTCGTTACTGGGTCGGTTCTTCCAGAATTCAAGACGACTATCTGAACTTGGTGTCTGCCGATGTATGCTTTAATTTTCATTCATCGACAAATTGACAATATGCTGATCCATAGGAATAACCAGTACTCTGAACAAAAGGGCTATTACAAATACCTCTCATCCACGCCTTTCGCACGAAAGATCCCGAGTTGGAGAGCATCATTGAGCAACGGAAGCGTGGTGGTCAGTCACGTCCCGCACTCAAACGCCTAATTATAGACAGACTTCGAGGGAAGGGAAGCGTAGAGTACACTCTTGCTGTACTGCGACTTGAAGAGGTGACTGGGAGCAAGAGCTGGGTGTTACGGATGCTGTTCTCTAAATTGGAGATTGACATCTAGAGGTTGTTATCCTCCACCTTGTCCCTCATTGTGGTTGCCTCTGGAATGATGACATGCTTGGCTGTCACTATCAGCTCAAAAATCCATTGACCTGCTGCTAGTGAATTATTCCAAGGTTTATTTAACTTCTACCATAATCTCCCAATTGACAACGGCATTGCAACTCTTAGCCTTATCTTCGTGAGACATCACCTAGACCGTAGTTTTATTGAAATCAGCTCTCTGCTATTTACGACCCCAGGACCCAGCTAGCAGCTCTGGGGGCTGCTCTATGGGCTTGATTACTACTGCTGCTGCTGCTACTACCACTAGGTCCCGCAAGACTAAAAGACCAATGTTACTCCAAGATGCTACGCATCTTGCGAATCCAAACCTATATAGTAGCTTTAAAGATAGATCCGCCTTCGGAGGGTAAGTAGTTAATGTCATTTGCTGATCCATAGACCCTTCAGAAGAAAGACCTCTTGTCTGCGGCCTGCCTTTGAGGAAGTATATACAAAGAATGTATGCCCCTATCTTTTATTGAATTTCGAAACTCCTCGTCGCCAGGATCCCCGCGTCACTATGCAAGGTGTAGCTGTAGCTCCCGTGGAACATCGTCTGATGTACTCGCATAAGTCATGCCTGAGCACCTATATTGATCATACACTCCGCGGCGTATTGGCACTTGTTCCAATCCTCCCACCTCCGGGACCACCGTCTCCATCCCCAAAGCGCTTCCACAGTCGAGCAGCCGCTAGATCATTCCGCGATGACACCGAAGTCGACGAGCTTCGGCTCAGTGATGCAGGTGAGGACAGTGTAGATGAGGCTGCATTCCTGGCAGTAAGCGCAGCCGCCGCCGGGTTGCAATGTGCACAGATGAAGATGCTAAAGCCGCGTCCATTGCAACTGGCACATACGGCTCCTCTGCAGGATGTCAGAATCAGTGCAATATACTCTTAAAAAGTATGAAGAACGTACCTTGGTGCGTTACCTGCGCAGTCCCGACAGGTTAAGACGGTCCGGCCTCCTATGCAAGCTGTATGCTCCGGGTCCAGGTTCAGCGACGACATAGCACGATATGACAGTGTTCTGCCTCGGTTACGTTGTACGACAATGATTGTATGCTTTGGAACCTGCGGCAAAGAAATCAAAGGTAGAGGCAGACTGTAGACACAATTGCATTCCCTGAAGTAAACGATCCGTGAAGCCTGGCTGATATCAGTTGGCCAACTTCTCAAAGAACAGCCTGTTCAGCTGAGGAAATGGGTTTGCTTATTAGTCTCGACTTAATACAGCTTCTATAACTGCGCAGGTGGTGTGATTAGATTAGATGAGCAGAAAGAAATCTTGGCCTTGCAGGCCGAACAAGGCCCCTCCCTGTCCAGTCCAAACGGCGATTTCTCCGTATGCCGTAAGCAAAAGACGATATGGTCACTGGACTCTGCGACTAGAGTTTCGAGTCTATCCATCCCGTTTAGATCCTTGCTGGTGGCGAATCAACGCCTGTCGTCCGAGTCGGAGCTGCGGCGGAATCAGAGGAGATCGGCTGCGCTGGCAGGGATCAGGAACCATCGAAGCGACGCCCAAGCGGCCCAACGGTCCAGAGGAGACACATGTTCAAGACCACCGGGCAAGTCAGAGCTCCCGAAAAGTGGAAACTTGACGGCGAGTGCGGTCCATAGAGCTGGGTCCCAAGTCGCAAGTAGTTGAGAGGGACATTGAAAAGTCGACCAGATGTCTTGGTCCGAGCCTCGCTTATGACATGCCGCATGAAGCTAGGTCCAGGTAGGCAGGGAGCGAGCGCCGAATCATGCAATCAGAGTGAAGGAAAGAAGGGGAAAAACAGGAGAAGTATAAAGTATTGGAAATATCGCAAGATCCACACCATGGAACAAAGGCGAAAGCATGGCAGCCACCAAGAGCCGTGTTACTCGAGTCGCGAATGATAGGGGATTAGCACAGGAATTTCGAATCACTGACCATTCCAACGAAGTAGGTGAGGGCTCGCTGACAACCACGGATAGCTGCAGGGCAACGTGCCAGCATGATATCATTCCCGTGTATCAAATATAGATCACACAGAACGCTCTTCTAGAAGGTGTACAGACGAGAAAGAGGTAACAGCAAGTTAGCGTCATGTTCCCGTCAGCAATGCCGAAGACGTATTACCGGTGCCCACAAATCACGTTTCTATTTTGAGCAAAAACACGATCGATTTCTGTACGGCTTGAATGTCATTCGTCTCGCTAGTTCGTAGCCCACTAGCTGAACCCCTAATGCATGCTCAATCACTCTGTTTCTATGACCGAGGATGCGATGATTCAACGGAATTGAGCCCAGCGTATCAAATGCGACTCTAAGCGAGAGCCTAGCTTCTGCGGCGGGCACCATTGCGCTGCATGGCAAGATCCAAGCTGCTGCAAGGTTAGTAAACGTATGTCTGCCTGTAGCAGGACATGCTAGAGGACGCTGTTGGATAAGTCGACAGTCTGTTATGGCCTGGCTTCTACAACCCCAATCGCTTGCATCGAAAAGTCAGGGATATGCTTGGTTAGGACACCATCATAGTCGATCCAATATACCGGATCTCCGGGCTAGTAAAGTGAGTGGCTTTGTGAGAAAGGCAACGAATATCTCTCATAACGGTCTCGTGAGCACTCTCAGCACTGCGCCTGAGATCTCATCTCTTGATGCGAAATATGTGGTCTCATGCAGGTATCCGCCCGATATACGAGCAGTGGAACCCGCACAGCGAGCCTAACGATTTTATCAACCGCATGGTGAGTGCACACTTGGAGTCTTTGTGGCAAGGAAAGCTTTCTGTGCCTCGTATCAGATGCATGGCACTTTACCTGCAGATCGAGTGATCACATGTCCTTGAGGTCGTAAAGGCATGAGATGAAACATGGTCACCCACGAAGCCCTTCTCACAACAAATGTGAGATGCGTTTGCAGTTGAAGTGATGTTGCAGCTAATTGGCTCGCTAGCCTGGCGCAGGTTCCTGGTCCCTGCAAAAGACAACTCAGACGAACCTTGCGCGCTCACCGATTATTCCCAGGAAACTGATATGTCGTAGTCATCGCACCGCGAGGTTACATCCGTCCAGGTGGAAAAGTCTCCAGTGTCAAGAATCATGAGATTCAGGATATAGTATGATGAAGACGGCTGGAGAGCGTTTGCAGCGAAGACTTATCCCAATTGAACCGGCCGATCCGAGACATGGCTTGGGGATGGGAAAATGGATACAAGATCAGCGTGGGACAGACATAGTGCCTATTCATGGGCTGGGCTTAGGCGGATATGCAAGCATCCGTTATAAATCCCGCATTAGAGAGGGGCTCACCTTAGCTTCGTGTGTCATTGCAACTGCCATCGGAACCTTGCTCGAAATCTCCAGCCAAAGACTAATGCCCATGAATGATGTGGCGGAGGCAGGAAGTCACTGCTAACCTATGATCCACTTTTTGTGGTTTCTGTATTCGTTGGATATTATTTCCGCGGCATATTGATGGCCGAGCGGAAGGACCTACCAGTCTACCGTGCGTACCGTGGAGTTTCTTCCTCTATGATTGGCGTCGGTGAGGTGATGGTGTTGATGTTGCACAAAGCCAAAGCACAAGAGGAATCGCCGAACAGATTGCGATCAGCTGATGCCCTCAATATCAGGCAGCCAATCCTTGATAACATCATTTTGTATATTATAGCTAATCCATGTCCTTAGAGGGACCATTATCGGGCTTATACATGAGTTAGAATCATGACCAGAGCTCCGAGGACCGGAGGAATCAATATGCTCAGTGATTGCAAGCCCTCAGCCTCGATATCAGACACCGTGCATTGCCAGCTGGCGTTGGGAGTCACGGGTGAAATGAAATCCTAAGCAAGAATGTGCTTGCTTCAGTAGAATGGTCGTCATGGTAACTGCGTAAATTATGCCTGGGCCTCTGCAGTAAGCTACCAATGTGGAAGATGCATCATAAACATATCTCATTGTAAGATTCTTTCTTAAGGACAAATAAAAGAAAACACGCCCGCACCAGGCGTGAGTGATCCTGCAAATTCTCGACAAATCATCAGGAGAGCAACAAGGTTCCCAAAAGCCAAGCCATCGGGGGGTAGAATAAACGCCGTGAAACGATCAAGAATCCCCAGAAACCAAACGACCGACTTCGTTGAAAGAAATGCCAGGGTAAAAAACGCAGTCTGGCACGAGGGGAGAAATTAAAGAAGCAAATATATGAAGGCAAGGAGACGTGGAGAGAGGTAAGGAAAAGACCCGCAGCTGCACTCCCCGTGAAGCCTCTTAAGCGAAGTAGTCAGTGGGGAGTGAGGCTAGAAGAGCGACTGTGCCCAATCCACCAACCATTGCGCCGAGAAGAGCACTAGCGACATGACTTCCGAAGCTGCCTGCGCCCGAAACCTTTTGCTTCTTCGATGGCCGTTCATTTTTAGCAGCAGGTTTGGCAGCTTTGGGTGCATCACTGGGATTCTGAGTGACCGTAAGATGCGAGAGGGAGGCGTCCAGATCAACGGGTGCAACTTGTGGCTGAGCGTCTTGAGAAAATGACTCTGCAGACCCACTGGTAAATTGCTTGTCAAGCAAATCATAAATGTCGACGGAAGCGACATGAGGGAAGTGCCCCTCAAGGTCCTGATCAAGCTCCTCCGAGTCCGATTCCATCTCAGGAGCCTTCCTCTTCCGCGATGGCTTGACGCCAGATGTTGCTGTCCAATCTGAAGCATCAACAATGTCAGCGATAGAAAGGCGTGTATTGGAGTCTCGTGTGGCCCCCGAACCGGCCATGGATGAGACTAAATGAGGCTTTGACTGCACATCTACGCGGCTACTGTCGTCCCGAGCCTCGATACCCTCATCATTAGAGTGCTGTTCTCGACTTGGCTGACCAGTGTTGGTGGCAGCGGTAGAGTGAAATTTATTTCCCTTTTCAAATTCATTGAAAGCTGTATGTGGCTGACTGTTGACAAATGGTCCATCAGTATAAGGAGCAACCGATGTCCGGTGATCTTGCGATATAGCAATGTCATTGCTTTGACATTCCGGTAAAGGATCGATGGGATGAAATCCAGCGTTGGGCCAACATTCGTCTGCGTCTGATGGCAACGTAGTGTGATGGAAACAAGCAAGTGAGTGATCGAGCGATCTTCCACTGGACCGTGACGCCGGATTGGAGACTCCGACGGGTTGTGGGGTGGATGACCAGCCGAACTTGAGGGGAGTCGACTCGGTGGAATCTTCGTCCGCCGCGGATTTCCAGCCGTTCAGGGTTGGAGCAGCGGGCGGGGGGCTAACTTGCTCACTACTGGTAACCGCCGTCGAGCAAGGTGCAACATTTTGAGCGGGTAGCGATCTGTTCTCCTCCTGTGACTGGGCTCCCTTACTCACAGCCACTGCCACTAGTGATTCATAGATCATTGAAGTCGAAGGAACATTGGATGCCATAGTATCGGCCTCCCTAACGAACCCATCGGCGTCAACACCTAGAGATGAGTGTGACATCAAATCATCGTCAGAGTCGCCTTGCTCTTCACTTTCTTCCCAACCATCGAATCCAGTGGCCGAGTCCCTATCTGGAGCATAATCGATGCCGCCCATATCGTCAGCTATACCAGCATAGGAACCTTCGTAAGTGTCCTCAACACACGGTGGAGTCATCCGCGGAGTTACAAGAGGGTGTTCATTGTTCTCTTCGTCAAGATCAATGGGACTTTGCTGTGATCTGACCACATGACTTTGAAGATCACTGGCGGGCGCAGAGGATTTATTTTCCACCAGTTCCACAGAAACCTCCTTTTTCAGAGGCGAAGTCAAGGGCGTGGAGTTTCCAGCAGATCGGTGATGATCAGAGTCCGAAGAAATGTCTGCGTCGTCTGGCACGTAAGATCCAGTCGATGGAGAGTCCATCCGGGCCTCGTCGACAATCTCAGTTACCTCATCGTCGTCGTCAGGAACGCAGAAGGTGTTTGTCTTTAGGTTATCCTGCGCTTTTTGGGGTTTCGAAGCCCCCTCACTGCCAAGGTTACTGCGTTAGTAAAAGAGCCTCGAGAGAAACTAAAGCAGTGAGCCACGTACTCTACGTCAAACCACTCGCACTCGCAGCGAACCCTCATGGGTGGATACGTATCTAGAGAGAGCAGGTAAGTGAGTGAATGAATGTCTGGCATGAAATCACTATTGAGATAGAGGGCATACCCTCGCCACGTATAACCTCAGTACCAAATATGACAACATCACCACTATGGATTGGGACATCCTTGTCGGCCGCTATCTTTTTACAATTGACCCAAGTACCATGCATGGAGCCATTGTCCCGTATGTAGACCTCCTGTGCTCAATTGCATTAGTACGAACATTGTTGCATAAGAGTTGAAACTTCATGCAAGGGGGCGGGATTGCCTTGACATCACCTACCTTCTTTTCGAAGGAAACGCTCAACTGCGCATGATCCCGGGACATTACTCTTGATTCGAACAATGCATTATGGTGAGCGGGGACGAGACCCTTCGCTTCCCGCTTAGAAGCCCGGCCAATCTTCACGAATCCGGTATCAGGAGCGAACGTTAGGGAGCGAGATGGCAGGACATCTGGCTGGAAGAGCGGGTAAAGAGTCACAACAGCTAGCAACACAGGGACAAGTAAGTCAAGTGTTCTACCTCTGTACAAGATCACGGTGGGTTACATACCCTGCTTATCAGGCATAATGAAGGTTTTGCCAGTCGACTCGTGAAATTCGAGCCTCGAGTGTCCGCGTAAGGGAGAAAGTGTCGCTTATCACCTACAACTAAGAAGACAACGCCTTCACTGTTGTAAGCACGATATTCGATAACTTTGACAGGCGAGCTGGAAAAGTGTTGAACAGTCGTGAACTCTGGTCGTTTTGATGAGTAAATATAAAGGATTTCAATACGTCTTCGTTGCGATAAGGCAGCCAAGTCGATGATGGGGAGATAGCTAAGGTAGGGAGGGGTAAGAGGAGGAAGTGTACGGGATCAGCCTGAGGTAAAGGGACGGTCGGTGTCAGGCGGATAAACGTGGACAAGCAACACCGTAATCACGTACGATTCCGTGGGTAGAAAACGTTGACTCAGAATGGCTGCCTGGAAAGTTGATCTAGGCTGTCAATACCCAAGGCAGAGGCAGTGATGGATGCTCAAATAATCACGGCGGCACAACAGGCCGAATCAACCAACAATACCCGGCTTGATAAGGAAGGAGTTGTGGGGATGATATAACGAAGTGTATCTTATTTAGCAGCTGACTGGGGTATTACCTAAGACACCAAACAACGCAGAGTTGAGGGGGTTCAAAACCGCTTTAGTGAGTCATCAAGACAAGCAGGAACTATTTTACAAGTGATAATGATGATGATGTACGAGTAAAGAGAGTGAACCACAGTTCCTTCTGAGATGGTGACGCTTTGATGCTTGTGATACGCAATGACGACCCGACCTTACCTTACCTACTTAAGGTAGATTAGTACCTTGATAGAGAGAGGTGGGGTTTCCCGTGGTCCACCCGCCGTCAGGTGATAAGGATTAGTCTAGGCAGTTGGGCTGGCGATAAGACTTTCTTTCTATAGCCTGTGGGGAAATCTACAGTACACCAGAAACAACAATGACTAGATATTATATATGTGAGAGTGTAAAAGATCCACCCAAGTAGATAGCATACATTGAAAAAGGCAACCAACATACTGTATTCCTACTATCCACCCGCTTACTACTATGGTACAAGTGAAATCCTTTCCGTCGCCATCCCTTGTCAGAAACGAAGCTCTAGCCGTCGAACATACTCAAGCATTCCGGCCACAATGCTGATTCCTCCATAGTGGGAGGCCAGCACTTTTCGTAAACAAGCAGACGACCAAAAACATACAAGAAACAGAAAAGGAGGACATATGATAGGTGAACAATCAGAGAAGGGATCTTTTAAGATAAAGAGGGGAAACGCATATAACGAAACGCAAAACATGTGGTAGTAGGTACAGACTCGTGAGTGAGAAGACCGAGCACCCCCTGGATATATCAGAGTGAGCTAAGAAAACGGTCCATTATAAAGGCGGAGGTATTGCTCGCATGGCTTGCAGTGGAGTGACGGATAGAATGGAGGGAAACGATTAGTCTCGCAAAAGCCCTCGGGGCAAAATGTGGTCTATGTAGGTGTGAAAGAGTTCATGGTGTGTGCCTCATTGAAGTGGCTCAGTGACTCTTCACAGACCAGGAGGTCCGCCCAAGCCAGCACCCATGGACTGCAGACGCGCTGCCAGCTGAGGGTACCTCTCCTGGACTTCCAACTGTGTCCGAGTGGCCTCGGCATACGAGATGGCGTTGACGATCTCCGCCTCCGTACGAGCCAGCTCTGCGGCCCGTTCGAAGTACTTGAGCGCCTGCGAAACCTTACCCTGTTGAAGAAGGAGTTGGGCCATGGTTCCCACAGCAATATCACACTCGGGGTCGACTGAAAAGCAAGTCAGTGAATCCTCAACATGTACAGAAGGTAATGATAACGACTTACTGATTAGAGCCTTCTGGCAAAGGTTCTCGGCTTCCTGGAAGTCATGCTTCCACTGGAACAGCGCAAGGGCCTTGTTGATCAGGGGTAGGACATTGATTCCCATTGGCTTGCTCTGCTTCTCCATCTCCACGGCCTTGTCGAACTTCTCAATGGCCTCGGAGAAATTCTGCTGGTCTAAAAGAAGCTCGCCATAGTAGTTGTAGACATCCGGTACGTCCTCAAAATTCTTCACGGACCGACGGAATGTAGCCATGGCTGAGGCAACAGAGCCCATCTTGTACTGCGTCACACCCAACTGAATATGGGAGAAGATAAAGGTGCGGTCGAGGTCGATCGACTTCTGATAGTCCTTGGCGGCTTCGGCGAATTCTCCAAGAATGAAGTGAAGCTGGGCGCGGTGGTAATAGATATCGGGATCGTCCTTGTTGTGGGTGATGGCGAGCTCAAAATCGTCGGCTGCGGCGTCCTTGTTGCCTAAAACAGGTCAGAAACACCTGGGTGATGCTCACAACGACGTTATGGACTTACCAAGCTCGAGGTGTAAGCTGGCGCGCTTGATATAGCTCTGAACCAACGATGGCTGCAATTCAATACTCTTGTTAAGATCAGCCAGGGCCGACTGAGCGTTGCCCTCGAGGTAGGTGAAGGTGGCTCTCATGTTGAGTGCCAACGCTTCGTATTCACCCAGATCACCGAGTTCCAAGGCCTTCTCGAAAGCACCAGCAGCTTCTTCGTAGCCGTCTCCGGTCTTCTTGGTCATGGCGACCAGACCCTTGCGCAGCTGACCTTTGCCAGACTCCTCACTGAGATCTGCTGACTCTTCAAGACCTTCGGGAAGAGGCTGGGGGCGGAAACTCTGGAGGTAATTGGAAACGAAGGTAGGGCTAGGGAGTTTGCGGCCCTTGGCTTCCAAGATAGCCTTTGCTTTCCTCTCTGCAACCTTCTTTAGGAGTCTTTCCAGCGCGTTGCGGCTGACATCATTGGAGAATCCGTCGATGATGCAGCTGGCGGTGAAGTCGAGAAGGGCCTCGCTGTACTTCTCGAGATGTTCGTACGCAATAGCTCTCCTATTCAAGGCCTTGACGTACTCGCTGTCCATTGCCAGCGCAGCGCTAGTGTCCTCAACGACCTTTTCCCACTCCGAAAGGACATTGTAGCAGGCAGCGCGGTTCGAGTAAAAGACAGGGTCGGGTTTACAAATGATCGCCTTTCCGTAGAGGTCGATAGCCCTGTTGTAATCCTTGGAGCCATAAGCCTTGTTTCCAGCGGCCTTGAGCTTGGCAGCATAAGCTTTCCGGGTCTGCAATAGCAAGTGTGAGCGTTCGGGCAGCGGATGGCGGGAGAAGCAGGAAGGATAGGATCAACAACACACCTCATCCGACAACTGATCAACAGTCGTCTCGTCGACTTCAGGCAGCTCTTCCGAAGCCTCCTCGGCCTTCTTGGGAACTTGTTCTAGGGCGTTATCAGCTCGATACTGTGTTTAGAGGGTGCGCAAAGCGCCGTCGGATTTAGCATACCCTCTTGAACGGTAGCGGCCTTTGCTTTCTTTTCCTCCTCCGCCTTCTTCTTCTCCTTGCGACGCTGGTTCTTGCTCTTCTTCTTTTCTGTGGGTGCCGGTGCTGGGACGGTCCGGCCGGAGTCGGAGAGGTAGTATACAACACCTGCGCTGGTCACGACCACGGCAACACCAGCAATGGTATAGACCAGCGCCTTATTTTCGGACACCCATTTCGAGATACGGTCCCAGACTGACGCGGATGATGAAGCAGGGAGGGAAGCTGTATCAACAACGACGTTCTTGACCGGCTGGGGTAATGGCGATTCGCTCGACATGATGACCCGGCAAAGAGGAACCTGAATTCTGAACTCTGCATAGCGCAGGGAATGGCAGTGAGCAACCTGACAATGACCAATGCCGGAGAAAGCATAGCTGGAGAAACAAATTGCAATTAAATAATAACATACCGGTCCTTGATAAGAGGTAGGGTGCTTGTCAGCAAAACGCTGCTCTTTTTAGGCTTCGGAGAAGGGAGAGTGATGGGAGAGATGATGCGGCCCTGAAAAAGTATGCGTTTCGATGTTCCAAGTTCCGGCGTACTACAGCGCCCTTCCGAGCTCTCGAGCCTAGTAGGCCAATCACGCTCTCCTGCTTACTCTGCTCCACCATATATCATCATCGCTTGAGAAAACCGATCTCTAATGAATGGGAATGATTTATGAGACGACATGATTTTAATATGCTAGAGAACTGGCCCTGTCACCACTAGTGACTTTGTCATTAACCGTCGCTAACATTTTCTGTTTTCATTCCTCCTTACCGCGGCCGCAGTACACCATTGAGCATATGTTCCATGCTTCATTTGCTCTGCGTCCATTTCGTTCTTAGTTGACGCAATGGCTACAATTTCACCGTCGCAAGACTCGGAGTCCTTCCAGATAATTTCCTCTCTTCGCTACGAACCTGCGCTTCCCGAGTTGCTCAGAGCACAACCCAGCGATGCCTACCCAGATTCCCTGCGATCACCCTATTACCTTCTCCCCTATCATCAGGAACGTCTTCTAAGAGCTGCAGAATGTTTCGGGTGGAGCAAAGCCGCTATGTTCCTGCAACAAGATGTCGAGTCCTTCGTCGAACACCTCAACAGCTTCATACCAGACCGGACGAAACCTTGGCGTCTGCGCATTGTCATTGACAAGGATGGTGCATGCACCGTCGAGGTCAACGCAGCCTTGCCAATGGATCCGCTGAGCCTTCTCCTGCCTTCCGAAATGAATCAGACATCCACGCCCTGGCTTGTCACGATAGACTCTCAAAGAACCGTGCCGTCGCCCTTCACAATGCATAAGACTACATCCCGAGACAATTACACTGCTGCACGACTTCGAGCCAAGATCGCCTCCCCACAAGATCCGGCTGAAGTGCTAATTGTGAATCCTCACGGGGAAATTATGGAAGGGAGCATAACGACTCCATATTTCAGACGACGGAGGTCCGCATCACCACAAGTGAAGATTGATCAAGAGGATGCTGGGCCGGCTTGGGTCACGCCACCTCTTTCCAGTGGAGGTAATGCGGGTACAACACGGCGATATGCTTTGGCTCGAGGATTCTGCTCCGAACAGGCAATTACCGTCGCCGAGCTGATCGACGGTGAAGAGTGTTGGCTCAGTAATGGTGTGAGAGGATTCTTCCAGGGCAAAATCTTGCTGAAAGAGCCTAAATCATGAGAGATGGATGTTGTTCAAATTTACCGTTAATCCCAAGGTTGCTTACGCCCAATAAGACAACCTGGCTAAAACTATTACGTGAGCCCGCATTAAATCATTCTAGGATGAAACCGCTGAGACGGTCAAGTTCATTCATATCTATCATCGCTTCATGTCATTTGCTGGGCCACTCATGTTTCCAAGGTGGATCTGTGCGTCCTCACAACCAGAATTCCGGAAGCAGGCGCTTAACAAAACTGGCAAGTGCACGCTGAAGAGCGGGGCTATCTATTCAAAGTGAGAAACCTCTATTTCTTCTCAACAACGATGGGGTTGGGGTTGCCTTTCCACTCGAGGGGCCGGGCCCGCATGAACTCAGCAACTACCTCGTCGGTGACCTGGGCCCTGCGTTCCTGGAAGGCCTGAACGTAAGCCTGTAGCTCCGCAATACATTTTTGCTTGACCTCGCCGGTGAGCATCTCTCCCTTCTCATAAGCCACACGGATTCGCTCCAGTTCCTCGTCATCTTCCATGAAGAACGTGAGGTACTGGAACGGGACGTCATCCTTGGTGTTGGCGCCCAGTTGCCGCTGAAGCTCGGCTGTATCCTGTCCTCCAGAGAAGGCGTACTTGTTGATTTTGTTCTTGATTCGATTGGCGGCATCGTTCATGTAGATGGCGGATGTCTCGACGCTTGCAGACATTTTTGAGCCAGGACCTTGAAGAGCGGGAAGGAAGATGGCATGGATCAACGAGGGCTTCTTGTACTTCATCTTCTCAGCGTGTTCACGGCACTGACGGAAGTACGGGTCCTGGTCGATCGCACAGGGAATCAGGCAAGGAATCGACGAGACCTTCTTCCTGTCGGTACCGAAGATATGAGGGAAGCTGGTTGCAAATGCAGTGGCCGATTGAGTCGCGCAGAAGTGGAATTCTCCGACGTTGTTGCTGTCGTTGAAGCCAAAGGTTCCTCGGACGGAGTTTATTGTAATCCTCTTCGCCATTCTGCAGATGTTCTCATAGAATGCGCCGCCAACGAAATCGAAGTCGCTGAAAATAAATGTCTTTTTCATATCAAACCCAACTGCAATGATGTCCTTCGCATTTGCTTTGGCATATCTCTTAGCATCATCAACCTCGATCTTTTGCGAATGCATGTATTTCTATAAACTGGTTAGACGCAAAGGTAGACCTCGTCATAGACATAATACTCGCCTCGTCGTCAGTAAGCATAATAACCAAAGGACAATCGAAGACATCCTGCAACCACCTGGTGAAGTAATCCTGGTCAATTCATTTTCGGGAGCATCAACTGGAAAGAGGACGACGTACTTGGTGAACTCAAAGGGAATTGTGTGTCCGACATGCATGCTGTCGCTGCTAGGTCCACGCCCAGTGTAGAGGTAGAACGGTTGTCCCTTCTCATAACGATCAAGAATCAAGTTCAGGTCACGGTGGCTGAACACAATTCCTCTACGCATAAATCGATGAGGCCGACGTCCAGTTACTCTTTCAAAGCGCTCGAGCAGTTCTTTGGAGATACGAGTCGCTCCAAATTCCCGAACCAGTTTATCATAGTCGACTGGGAGAAGCTTGCCTGACTCGTCAACACCACCAGACACATCGAAAGGAGTCACAACCTGAGCGACTGCCTTGGACGCGGGGGCCTTCTCGGCCAGGCTCAATGTGGTGAGAGCCGGGGGTTGTCCAGGTTCGTCGGCCATGTTTTAGTGAGGGTTTCGGTAACAGCGAGATCAAGATGTGAAACGGATGACCGAGAAGGCGACCAATGCGCTACGGCGAGTCACTCTGGGTAGGCGAAGATGGTAACAATCTTAGAGAACTGGTCAATAAATTTCTCCTGCCCCTCCAAACTGTTTGGTGGATGACTCAGGCCTGCTGGCAGAATTCTGGCGGTGTATTTAGCGGTTAAGTATATCACGTGTATTTCTTGGCATCCCCGCGTTGCCGATCGGGCTAGCGCCAGAGCTGTCGGAAGCTGACAGAAATTCTTCCAACAGGAGTTGCTTTCCGACCACTGAGAAAGGTCAAGGATCAGACGAGCACCCATCTTCATCAGGCGTCAATTCCTCCATTGCCACATCAGCTTCAGAATCATCATCTCGATTCTACGACTTCCTTTATGCATCAGCAATCATGAAATTCTTCGAGAATGTCTTTACATACGATTATTCCTTCCCTGCCGTCTCGCTGGCCTATTTTCTCCGCTATCCGAATCCATATTCTCGCCATGTTCTGACTACCGATGTGATCGACCGTTATGTGGATCCGAAGACGGAGCGGCTTCATACAGTTCGTCTTCACTTGAAGAAGTCAAAGGTCCCATCAGGTATATTGAAATTACTTCCGAAAGGAATTGGGGGCTCGGACAATTCTGGCCAGAGCTATATACTTGAAACTACCGTCGTCGACATTAAGGAGGGCTGGATGGAAACTGAATCGCGGAACATGGAATGGACGGGTGTTCTGAGTGTCGTCGAAAAACAGCTCTACACGCGCCAGCCAATTGAGGGTTCGCTCGAAAGCCTACAGGGACTTTCACTAGATGCTCAGAGAAACGAACAGACCCAGGTGAAAACCACGGTTACCTTCCGCTCTCGGTTGGGACAAGGAAAGTTCCTTGGAAAAAAGAAGACCATGCCTACTGCCGATCAGACTATTGAGTTTGACGAAGAGACGCCTAAGAAGGGTTTCTTCTCGTCGTTGTCCACTGCTGGCATTCAGAGAACCATTGAGCTCATTGGCGTGAGTCGAACTCGAGATGCAGTACTCAAAAGCAAAGAAGGCATGAACGTCGTCCTGGAGCGCTTGCGGAATGGTGGTATAGTCGCTGTCCTTGAGGGAATGCGGCAGGATCGGGAAGCAGCTTTCGGACCCGATGGTCCGTGGAAGCGTGTCTGGCTTAGAGGGAATAGCCTCAAAGAGCGAGCCTCCACGGATGATGACGACAACTGATGGACACTTGTGTAGGTTTAGCCACTGGGCAGTTTCTTTTATTGCAGCATTCGAGCGTGGGGTTTCGGCGTTTGGGACTTGGTCGAATTTGGAAACTCTCCTATATGTTTGACTTGCTTTACTGTCATCTTCATCCCAATATTCTTGTCATCCAACTGAGGTCTTCACATGATGAAAAGTGATGAACTGAACATCGATGTATATTAGCTAGCCATATGGCAACTGTGGTGACCTTATTCGATTCATGGTAGGCACCTGTTGTACAATACTCATGCATCTCATTCTGTAACTTGTTTTTGTCTTTCACATACATCCACTTATTTTAAGATTTAAGTCCTTTGACTGAGAAAACAAAAGAGTCTTATATCGTTTTGTTCTTCAACTTGCTACTGTAGTGAAGTAGTTTTCCATTATGACTTAGTCATCCTCACACGAATTTGGTGGAGACTAGCTTCATTCTTATAGATCTCTCCCTCCCTTCATCGATCAGACACCGTCCATCATTGTACCCCATCGCATCTGACAATACCATTGGGAGAGCGTGATTTTCATCTTAAGATGACTTGTTCAGCCAATTATAAGAGCTGGAACGACTGAGGTACCCCTTGCCTCTCAAACGTGGGTCATCTACCTCGGACCTATTTATGACATTGACCTTGGGAACTCCCATATATATGAAGCCAGTGATTTGACTGAGAGGCTACATCCAGTTTCATTGGATCACCAAGTTCAAGAAAACAATTTATCCTCCTTGAGCAGTCAAATCGCTGCCGTCATATCACACAGTCGCTCAGAGCCATCAGCTTTATCATTACCAATAATGGCTACGCAATCTCTACCACTTCGGAATCAAGCTTCAGGCGGCTGTTCTGATGAGCAAAGTAGCAACGATATTACCCAGAATCCAGAGGCTGCGAAAGATCCTACAGATCTGCAGAATCTTGGCGAGAATCTAAAGATACTCCCAGTGCCATCAGTGAACGACGACCTCGAAACAACGGCCAAGAAGATGAGAGCATTAGCCAAAGTGGTCAGCGACGGGAACAGCCTAGCACTGTTCACAGGCTTGCAGGTGGCCTCTCAGCACCTGACAGATCCAAAGAGCATAGCCGTCTCACAGATGACAATAGATGAACGAGTGCAATACGAGGCATGGCAGAGGGCCAGAAAAAATCGCACTAGGAAGAACCCCAGCGACCAGGAAAGTGAAGAGACATCTAATTGCGGTGGAAAGGTCTCAGCTGTTGACTTCGACTGGGTCAAAAACGTAGCTCCAGTGCCTGATGGCGCTCAGAGTCTGAAGAAGTTCAGCGAGCGCGCAGCAGCAATGGACATCATCTGGGACCACCACGGCGCAACGCCGGAGAACGCAGCGTGGCTTACCTTTAATTTGCCAGCTATTCTGCCTCTTGTCAAGGCTGTCTGCAGGGTCCGCACTGCCGAGAGACACCACCAGAATAACCGGGATCCCAGTATGCGCGGGCTGACGGATGTGGAGGCAGCAGAGGTGGAAACAGTGCGGAAAATCGTGTCTCTTGCGGAGAGAAACAGGACACGAGAGCTCGAAAAGATCCGGAAGTTGACCAGATCAATTACGGAGTCAGCTGCGGTGATCAAAGCCCGGGTCAAATCTCTTGAAGATAAAATGAACAGCTGATCCCAGGAGATGCTGCATCGGAAGTCATCATTATGGAGCTTGCCGGGAAGGTTACTGGTCGGATCGTGAGCGCATCTCTTCTGATATAAGTCTTCTACCAGCATTGCCTATCAATATCGATACGATAATATTTCTTTTCATTCATCTTTGATCTCCTATCCTAAGCACGCCGGCAAGACTGTGCTTCTTAAAGTCAATTGAGCACATACTCTGTATTCCGTTGAGAAAAGCAATGCGCACAGAGGCCAAAGGTTCACAATACTCCATAGAAAGACCTACAAGTCTAATCCGCCTCTTGATTGGATAGCGGCGTTAACGGATAGGTACCTTCACCATTACCGTAGATTCAAGGTTCCACTGCCAATCTCCCAAACGGAACTAGGTAGATTTTTCGCGCCAACCCATTTGAAGTTTTGAACCCGAGGTTTCCAGCACTTGAACGGGTCATTTCCGCTGAACCCTTGAATTCAATTGCCTGCTAGACTAGAATAGGGAAACCTAGTGGCTGACTGGCTGTACTTGGCTAGAGTTGCTAAACAGCCATTTTGTTGTTGGTGGATATCATAGCACCGATTTAGCCTGTAACTGGGAGCCTATGACGCACTGGAGGCTGCGTTAAAATTGCAGATGACTTCATTTTTGTTTTCGCTACCCTAGTCTTGATGTGCATTCCACCCAACAATGTGAGATTGGCTTGTCTATTAATGGGTTTGAAACATTCAAGGCTGCAGACGCAGGATACAACTGTCGGTCTATAACTGAGACATATCTTCTCATTAGGCTATCTGAACGGTAAGAGGAGAAGACGGGTGTCAGAATGGTGACACTTGACAGTCGACAGTGGGTCACAAGCAAGAACTAAGCCAAAATCGGCGCCAGCCACGGTGAAAGGTGCCTTCATGAGTAAAGTCCTTCGGAGTTCTGAGGGTGAACCAGTGGAAAAAGGGTCAGGATGTCTATCATTGTTTGGGTCAGAGAAGTATATACTCCAGTACTCATTTTGCAATCTTAGGAGCCAGATCAGGTTCACAATATCATTGGCTTGAGAAATCTCAACTGCCTTCTTCAGGACTTCCCTTATGCCCAAAGAGAAAAGTGGTTGTATGATTGCCCTGGCAACTTCAGTCTTTGACTGGCTTTCTGGGTGAATCTAAGCTGCACGTGCTCATAACTGAATAGGTATATCCTGATGGTGGGCTTGACCAGCTGGTAGAAAGATGACTATGTAGAATTTAATGCTCAGCTACATCCATGGCTGATTTGGCAGGTGATTTATTAGTCACTACCAGCAAGCGTCCATTATTGAAGAGGTAAATCACTCGGGTGGCTTCATGCATACAGACCATCTCCCGGTCAATTGACTGAGGAGAACAATTCCAGGTTACATTACTGGTTTGTTCTGACCAAAACATCAGCCATATAAACTCAAATAATACACACCAAGAGCACCGACATCATATCTTCAGCGCTTGAATCCGTACTCCCGCGGATTTCCTCCTCGAAAAATAAGTTACTAGCGTAAAAGGAAAACAGTCAAGTTGCGGTGGGGGGTTGGCAAGCTAAACACACCAAGTGGGACGCCTAGGATTCAAGTACCAAAATATGTGTAGATTCTGCTCCCTGAGTGGTCCACTCCTGGCACACTGTCTGAGATCATCCACCAGGACTGCCACATTTGGCCAAGAATATGCGGGGGCAGCCCCCGTTAGCGTGGCTGGTCAAGCAGGGCAAACTTGCTAAGAATGTCCACTGGTAAATCAGGGAGCGCTGGAATTGTGCAAGTGGTAAAAAATGGCACCTCTTCGGGGTTTCTTGAGCCCTGCGGCCAATCCCGGGCTCCACAAGCCCTGGTTTTATGTGAATTATTATTGAATTTGAGAGAACAATAATAATCCGAATTCAAATTTTTAGAAATGATCTGTTTGAATCACTGACCGTCTGAGAAGGTCAGCAGGGTCATCAATCATCCTTCATTATCGGCTACTGTCCGGTCTACTGTCGTATTCGCAATTGCGTATGATCTCTAGTAGGTAGACTGCCTGCCCGTGGCCTAAATACAAGGCTTGAAGCTTTGTGCCTCAGCCTCCTTTACAGCTTTACCCATAATAATCTCAGGAGGTAATCTTACTCATCATCCTATTTCCCCATCTGCACATTTGTTTCCTCCGTCAGACCATGTTCTTCCACCATTGATCTTTCTAGTTCTCAACTCACTCCTGTAATATCAAACGAACCCTGTGCTCGTCTCCGTCCATACCACCGTTGCTTGGTCACCGTCTTGATTTAAAGTCCTTGGCCTCCCTGGGCGGTGGACAAAGTGGCTCGCAACAGCACCAATAGTTGACATTTGCTTACACGAGAACAGTTTAGGCACATTTGCACAACCGACGGTCTGCGCCTGTGCCGTCTAAGCGCAGAGGGGACTCTTACCAGCATCTGTTTCTGGTTTCTGCACTCCCTTTCTCGTTTTGCCCCATAGCAATAGTGGTATTATTGTTGCGGGTTTGATCATGATTTGAAGGGTCTTTCTACTTATTTATCTCCTCCACTTGGCCTTATTTTCGCATTCATCCCTCCGCTCCTTGTTCCGTCTATCCCTTCGACAACCTCTCCGACCGACCGGCTTTGTCAACAACCATAACATAGCCACACGGTAATGAGCATGCCAGTCGTCTCTGGCCGCTGCTCCATCATCAGTCTCATCTAGATACCATAAACAGATCGATCGTTCTTGTGGAACCGCTTTCTCCGGACGGTCGTGAAATCATCAATGTCTGTCCAACTCGGATCAGGGTCGGTCTTTCGACCTGGCTGGATGCTTTTAATATTGGTGTTGGTCGCTTTGCCGTCAGCCATCGCCCAGTTTTGCACCTTTTGGGACGGTGGCTGCGTCGATCCTCTCGCTCAGACAGCCATCAACTTCAATTTTCCTCCTCTATTCCTCGATGATATCACTTTGTACTATGGCTTCGACGCGAATCCCTCGGGCAAAGGGCAAGAGCCTATGGTCAAGGCCAGTTTCTGGCTTGCATACGACCCGCAACGCATCGACACCTCTGTCATTACTGCAAATCGAACCTCCGAAATTGCTTTCCGGGTAGGAAATCTCACAGGGACGCCTTCTGGGCCTAGTAACGGCTGCGATGGTGTTTGGGGTCCCCAATGTACACACGATCTGAAGGAGTTGCTCAAAGGGGCCATCTATGAACTGACGGTCAGGGGGGACTATAAGTCCCCTCTTCAAACCGTCATCAATCAAATGCTCGTCAATCCACCTGTGCTCTCCAATTGCCCCCCGCCCTTTTTTGACGTGCAAGCATTGCCTGTGCAGGGTACGTGACTCTTGGCTCCGATTTTGCCTATCTGTGCTCTGACATTAGCTGACACTTAGTAGCATTCGCTCAAGAGACCGAGCCTGATAAGACTGCTACGATACAGACGCCTGGGTTCGGCGGAAGCCCGTGGAAGACGTGGTTCATCGATAATATGACGTCCAGTCAACAAGCCGAGCAGGTAGCGGTTGCTATTCTTACCCGAGCCCCGTCTTCCAACGCCTATTTACTGCACGGCAAGGATGACATTATGATTGAGCTTGTTTGCATCCAGGCACCTTCTTCTGGGAGTTCGACGTCCAGCCAAGACGGCTGATGAAAGGCTCAGCTAAGGGTCACGTCTACACTGCAGCACCGAAGATCGATCCATTGATACAATCCTCGATAGTTCAGCCGGAACTGAGTCCGTCCCAGAGCTCTATCGAACGCTCATTACTCGCCGTGCTAGGATTCCGTTCAATCCTTATTGCTCAATCCTACGGTCATCATGATGCATTTGTGGCATATCATGATTGTCACTTTCAAGTGTGAAACATTGGGAAGGCATCCTCCGAAACAAGTCGAACCAGATCATTGCGGTTCAAAGGGTCGATCAATGCCCCTGCCGAAGCGCGTAATTGTACAGGGTGCCTCTCGTTTGCATCAGTCCAGGTGAACTCGAACCTTACATAGACCACTCCTGAACATCTCGACACTGAAACCCTTGATACTCGGCCTACCTGTCTAGTGGATAGGGTCATTCATTTTTTGGTACCTGTGTGGGCTTTGACAAAGACCTCACTTGTCGAGCGGCCAGCGGGCCGACATCCTAACGGATGAACAGGAACATGTCTATTGATGAAATGACAAGAGAGGAACCGCTCTGGTTACAATTGTACTCAAAAACGTTACGATATATTAGAATTAACCCTTATCACACCTTGTGATACCCTCAATATCGACCATATACTCCACAATCATCATAACCCGGTGTCCTCGGCGAATTCTCTACACCATTTGGCGGCCGCCTACAGTGTGGGCAAGTCCATGTCAATTGGCTCCAGATCACCAGGTCCGTGGAAATCCTCCACAATCTCCGCCTGCTCACATATGAGTTTCCGATCAGTTTGAATCCCGATTTTCGCCAGACCCCTCCACCGCGCCAAGTCTTCCGCATTCCGCTTGTTCCCATGCGCAGCCTCGGCATTCTCCCAGTGTCCTTTGGAGAATCCCATCATGGTAGTGATTCGCTTTCTGGGGATATCATATACAAGCGAGCAGATGGTTCCCGTCTCTTCCAGCCAGTTGCACTGCCATAGCTCGCCGGGTCGAATGCATTGGAACGTGGCTACTTGGAAATTCTTACGACCAGCCATGGGCCCCCCGTGGATGGCATAGACGACCCGGTCCTCGTTATAGAACCACAATTCATAGCGCCATTTTTCCGGGTTGCCGTGGGCATCCTGTGCAGCATAGTCGTATATGAGATGACGGTCGCGGATGTCGGTGTCGAAGGTTGAGTCTTTGTGGGAGGGAACGACGGGCATTTGATTACTGTCCGACGAGCGTAAATAGGATAAAGCAATACAATGATATCTTCTACTGAACGCGATGTAAATTTCTGTCAGTTTGTAGAGAACTATATCTATCGGTAGGGTAGGAATCAGTTAATGTATATATCTAAAGCCTTACTACCGAATTCTCAAGCCGATAGATCGTCTCTGCCCGTTCTTGCTACTGGCCTCGGCCTTTGAGCTGTGCGGATGTACCGGACTATACCCTTGGCAATGACATCATAACCAAGCGGATCAGTCTCGGATATGGAGATCTGATAGGTCTTCGTGTGGAATAGACTTTGCAGATGCTGTATTGTGTTCATCCTGTGGACTATATATACTACATCACTGTTTCTTACCGTGGACACTTATCCACGGCGAGTCGTCGGTAGTATTGGGCAAGGTATTGCCTCACGATACTGTACTTCTGTTGACTGAGCGCGATTGGTAGACAACATTGCTGTCGATGGAGATTGATGTATGACCTGGGGGACGTGATGCAGAGAGTCGACTGGATGTCTCGATTGAAATTGCAACTGTTGCATGATTTTTATTGTACTCTACTCGATATATAAATACAGAGGTATGGAGCATGAAGCTCACACTCCATGGTGTCTTCGACATCGTTAAATTACCTGACAGCAGAACAATTTGCTAGATAGGGAGGTAGATAGATATCGAAAATGACTTCTTCCATTATCCTATCTGTCGCACCTGTGTGGCCATTCAATTGGACGATCATTCGCACGTGCATCACCAACTGATCCCAAACGGGAAATTTGCTTGTTTACTGCATCGCAGCGCGAATTCTTGGTAGAGCATGATTCAGCTACAGGCTGATACAGAGCGGGAAATTGATTCTCTGTAGTTATATATATAATCCCGGCAATTCGAATGATTTCTTCCTGTCTTTTATAATTCTGTGAAGTCTTTACTGGCTGCAATGAAGTGGCAGGCAATCCTAGCCTCCCTCCCGGCAGTTCCGTGTCAAGGGGATGTTTCATCTCTTCCTGGCGCATCCTCTTATGTTGCACCGGCTGGATTTCCGACTTCGGCGTTTTCGTAAGTCTGGGATGAACCAGCATTGTTTAGGAGCTGACTTGCATCACTCCGTACAGCTCCTACTACTACCTCCCAGCGGAGCCCACTCAAGAGCCCCAACCAGTGATTCGGGATCCTGTGCTGAATACTACTTTCCCATACAATCTGACCAATCCCAACACTATACCAACTGAGAACAACGACCCAGTGGTCTTCCCAACCCCTTCAAAGAAGCTCTCTGACAGTCAACAACATGATCTCATCCAAGCTGTGGTGGCTAATGTGACCAGCATCATCAATGGCAATGCTACGCACGGTAGCTGCAACAAATGTAAGGCAGCGTTGGCCGCAGCCAAGCCGGCTGCGTTGTATGCGCCGACTCTGGTGCCCGAAACCGTGATATCGCTCTGCAAGCAGTTCAGTTTCAAGTCAAATGCCACTTGCGAAGAGGATTATGCAGCGTCGGTCTTCGGGGCCGTCTGGACCCAAGTGCTGGTCTACGCAAATGTTGAGGGCCTTGATGGCAACTATATTTGCCATGCATTGAGCAAGTCCTTCTGCGGTCAGCCAGCGACGAGTCCACTGGACACCTCTCATCTTTTCCCGAAACCCAAGCCAGCAAACCCTCGCGTCCCCGAGGCGAGCGGGAAGCGGGTCAAGGTGCTGCATCTTTCCGACTTTCACCTGGATCCGCGGTACTCGGTCAGCTCCGAGGGGAATTGTTCGTCAGGACTGTGCTGCCGTAATAACAACTTCAATTCTGCTTCGAGGGACCAGGTCTTCCTCCCAGCCTCGGCGTACGGGACCTTCAAGTGTGACACGCCCTATGATCTTGGTCTGGCTGCCCTTCAGGCGATTGGGCCCTTGACTGGGACGGGGAAGGGAAGAGAGACGGATTCTTTAGCTTGGTCTCTTTACACCGGTGACCTTGTGTCGCATGACCCAGTCCAGGAAATGTCTCGAGAATATCTCAAGTACACGGAGACTAGCATCTTTGGCATGTTCAAAGAGTACCTGACCGGACCTGTCTTTGCTGCGCTGGGCAATCACGATACCAGCCCCGAGAATATCAATGCTCCTCACAACCTTCCAGGGCCTCTGGGTGAACAGCAGAGTTGGAACTACGAGCATGTTGCCGGACTTTGGAAACATGAAGGATGGATCGATGAGAAGACCGCCGCAGAGGCGCGCACACATTACGGTGGCTATTCTGTCAAGGCTCACTATGGTCTGCGCATTATTACGTTCAATACTGGTAAAAGTACCTGGATACTCGTCAATTATGCTAGGCACTGACTCTATCAGATTTCTGGTACGCGAAAAACTACTTCAACTTCATCAACTCCACCAATCCCGACAACTCTGGCATCTTTTCCTGGATGATTGATGAACTTCAAAAGGCCGAAGATGCCGGCGAGCGGGTCTGGATCATCGGCCATGTCCTCAGCGGATGGGATGGCTCCAATCCCCTCCCTGATCCCACCAATCTGTTCTACCAGATTGTGGATCGCTACTCGCCCCATGTCATCGCCAACATCTTCTTCGGCCATACCCACGAGGACCAGTTCATGATCTACTATGCCAACAACGGCACATTGCAGAGCGCGGACACAGCCCTAACAACCGGCTGGATCATGCCCAGCATCACTCCGTTGACGAACTTGAACAGCGGCTTCAGGATGTATGAAGTGGATACTGGCGACTTCAACATCTACGAGGCCTACACCTTCTTCAGCAACGTCTCTGATTACCCGTCGCTCGTAGAAGCTGGTCCCACGTTTCAGTTTGAATACTCAACCCGTGACACGTACGGTCCCGCAGCAGGCTGGGAAAAGAACGACCCCTTGAATGCCACGTTTTGGCATCGGGTGACGGAGGCTATGGAGAAAGATATTGACCTAGTGAGCTTACATAATACCTATCAGGGTAAGATGAGCGTCAAGTCTCCCAACTGCACCAATGTGGAGTGTCAGGAAGCGAAGATCTGCTACATGAGAAGTGGTAGTGTTGCTCTGGGAAGCCAATGTCCTCCCGGGTGAGTTGCACTCCCAGCTGTAATGATGTGGATGCTAATCGGAACAGATACGGCTCGGTCCAAAGTTCTTTCTCTTGAGCGGTTTTTATACAGTATACATGTAGATACTGTAGGATATGTTCCTGATATACCTTATCACTAAGAACAGATAAAGCGTGCATCATCTATAGACATGACCATCGGAGAGGTTAAATTCCAGGTTGGCATCAGCTTGTTGCTTACAATTTTGTTTGACAACGCTCATCGTCTCTTTGTTCCTCGGCGTTTTCCAACGCCTGTTTGCTTCTCGGCATTGTTCATCGTCTCTTTGCTTCTAGGAGATATTCATCGTCTCCAGCAGAGACCCGCATAGTGAGCATACAAAAGCTCGGCGTACAACCTCACGCCAACCTATTCACACGCCTACCTATCATTATCTGTGGAATTCTCTATGGATTCACCGGAAGTAATGATGTCTTATGCTTGATTCACCGGATTAGAATGACTCCCATGCTGTTGGCAGACATATAAAAACCACCTACACCCCAGGTCAGAACTCTCTTCTCATCTCATCACTCACACCGCAAGACTTGAGATTTCATCTTCTCCTACCCGGGTCGTTGGGCTAGCATTTAAGCCCTATTCTCCAATCGAATCCTTCTTTACGTTTCTTACAAGTGCTATACTTCATCTTCCGAAAATACAAACCAAATTCGAGGTGTGCCT